TGGTTCTGATTTTAAGTGTTTAATGCTTCATATAGAAGTACGATGGCTCTCGAAAAGAAAAATAGTCGCACGATTTATTTCTTTACAAATTGAAATTATATCTTTCTTCGATACCAAAACTTCTGAATTTGAATTTAAAAAAGAGATAATTGGTAGCTGAAATTAACATTTCTCAATTTGAACGTTTTAAATTTTAACATACAAGGAGCAAATTAAAATATTATCATAATTACATGAAAATTAGAGGCTTTCACAAGTTAGAACTGTGCACATGGAAAGTTAAAAACTCAGTTTCATTGCTTCCCGTAGACGCAAATTTGAAGACAGTAGAAAACCTCTCTATATCATTTTCTATGTATTCTCCATCACTTGATTATCAAATTTACTTCAATTCTTTTGCAAAATACGATTAGTGCGTACCTTTCTATTAACAAATGAAGAAAAATGTATTTCCTTCTCACTAATAATAGTATTATTAAAAAATTAAATCTCACTCAAAACTATGATGTAAATAAAATATTAAATAAAATTAACTTTGTTATGTAAATTAACCTATTTATTATTAATAACAAGATTAATATGTTAAATTGAAAATCTTAAAAAAAAATAAAAATAATTTTATTAAAAAAAAATGCTTTACAGACGTGATTTTTACATGTATCTTAAGATTTTTGAATAATAAACAATTATATTATAAAGTCAATAGTCTCTTTAAAACAAATGATGTATATTAATAATGCATATAAAAATCGGTGCAAGGGGTGCAATACAATTGAAAAAGTTAAGAAGTTTTGAATAGAGAATGCAATTTCTTGGATCACTCAAGAAAAAAAAATATAATTGCGCAGGTAAAAAAAGAAAGGACAACGTTTCTATTTTTATGGACGTCATTAATAATTCATTTAGTAGTGGCGTTATAAAAAAAAATGTTGTAAATAATAATAAAAACAAGAAAAAAGATACCTGTAACAATAAAGCAGAAAGTGAATGAAAAGGTGGTCAGTTTTTTAAGGAAGCTTAAAAAACATAACGACGTTAGTTTTTTATGCTAACCAACATTTTGGTAAAAAACTAAATGATCTTTGTAAATTTGATTTAAAACCGTTTTCACGAAACGAGTTTTTTATGCACTTAAAAAAATAGTTACTTTGATTTTTTCTATTATTATTATTATCAATCTTTTTAATTTTTTTTGTGTGGAAAAGAATGTAACAATTAATTATGTAATTGTTATTTTCATGATATTCTTTTAATATTTTTTTTTTTGATGAAATACTTTGATTATTCAATTACATGATTTTTTGTGTTTATCTTAGGCTTTTTGTACAATAAAGAATTATATTATGGTCAATAGTTATTTGAAATTAATATTTTGTTAATAAATAATAATAATATATAAACAAAAATAAAATTGAATTTGTTTTGTTTTTTTAATGCAATTTGTATACAGTGGAACTTCGATTAACGAGTTTAATCCGTCATTTTAATCCGAGTCATTTTTCATATAATTAATTTTGCGAAATGCTCGTTATGCAAGGTGCTCATTAAGTGAGGTTTCAATCTATTACATTCTTTGGATGAATATTGTTATTATTACAAAATAAACATTGAGTTTTTTAAATATTTTTTTTGTCAAAGTTTTGCATATTCAAATGAAGAAATGCAAATACCTGCGTGCATAAAAAACAGACGAGTAAGAGTGGGGGCATAGTAGGTAGTGGTCATTTTTTAAGGTCAGGCTGTTTTTTAAGCACAGTAAAAAAGTCAAGACTGTTTTTTAAGCTTGCTGATTTATTAGTAAAAAACTCAAGTCCATAAACTTCATTTCCGTTTTTTAAACGCGTAAAAAACACTTCCAGCCCTAAAAAAATGCGGTAGTTTTTTATAATATCGATTATTGAAAAGAATAAAGACATAATGATTATTACCTAATATTTTATTTTGAAATACAATCAATTGTTTTTTTACCAATTAATTTACTAAACAATTTTCTTCTTCGCAGGAAGCGTTGTTTTTTTTTAGGAATTGTAAATTGCATTTTTCCAAAAAAAAAAAAACACAACCCGAGTATTGCAGGAACAAGCCTTTTTTTCTGCGAAAACGAAAATAAAAATAATTCTTAAAAAAAGTTAACTATATTGAGAACACGTTTTTGTTGTATACAACGAGACTGTTTAGGGTATATAAAAAATTGTTACTAAAATGTAAAATATAAAAAATAATTTTCTTTCAAAAAAAAAGGCGACAATTTCTTAGGAATTCTGGGATGACTTTGCCTATGCGTTTCAGGCGGCAGACTGATTTATACGGTCAATTAGTTTATACTGCTCTGCCGAAGATGCAAAAATTGCGAAAATTTGGGTAAACTTTTTTTTTTAGTGACACTATGCTAAAAAGGTACGATTTCTTTTTGTTGCTTCTAGGATTGTGACTTAAAAAGAAGTTATCCACTGTAAAATTTGAATACAGTCAACCTTTCGGTACGTTACACATTTTTTTATTTTGCCATAAACTGAAACGGTTTACAATTTCACGTAATTTTCAGCAACGTCAAAGTAAAAAAAGTAAATTTAAAAAATATTGAAATGTATTTGCAGATACCGAAAGGGGCGTATTTAAAAAAGGGTATTTTGAAAGAGTCGTAATTCGTTTTTTTTTTCAAGGAAATAGACTTTATTTCTGTTATATAGTTTAAAAAAAGCGTGTACAAAAAAATTGACGTGGATTTCATCGTTGACGTCATCTAGTGGCGCCACGCTGTAACTAAATCGGCCATTGAAGGATGGATGTAAGACACGAAGAAGTAAAGCAATAATTAAAAAAAATAACGTAGTGAAGCTTTTCCGAGTAAACGAAAATTGCGTTAATTTTCTGCATATGTCGCGGAATTGAAAACCGCGATCGGAAGCGGTTTCCTTCGTGCGCGCCGTGTCATTATGATTTGAATGCGGAGGAAGCGGGGATTCCCAGTCGACGCCAGCCGTTAAGTAATTGCATTAATTAAAGTGAGTGCGTTCCGGTGTCCTGGAGGACGACGCAAACAAAATTCCGACGCTGGAGATGTCGTCGAAGTCCTGACACACACAAAAAAAACTTTGAATGGACGTCCTTTGGACTCGTTCCACCCTCGCTGTATTTTTTTTGTGTGTTCGCTTCCAGCTTCCCATCATCCCGTGGAAACCCTTTCAAACTTCCAACACTTCGGATCTCGAGAAAAACTTTTTTTTAAGGGATGAAGTTTTGCTTTCGCAGCACTCACCATCTCACGCGAAACTCCTGCAATACTTCCATTCCCCGCTAATTAATCTTGATAAATTTGTTCTCCTCTCTTTCTTCTTTTATTTTTGTAATTTAATTATCAGTTTCTTACAGTTTTGCTGTTGAAACCAAAGCTTTAATCACTTTATGATTATATTTTGTAATTTTCCTGAAAGTAGTATATATGATGTAAAAAGCTTATTTTTGTCTACAATTATTTTATATAAATACTATTAAAATAACGCATAAAAAACATCACAAATTTGAGAAATAATTCGATTTGTTAAAGTTAAAAACAAACGTAACGAAATATGTTGTAACTTGTACAAAAAAAACAGTTTTAGGTTTTTTGCTTCTTTGTGTGTTCTTGCTGTGGAACCGTTATTCGGGCGGGTGGTGGTGCTTGGAAATCTACATAAAAAAATGTGCTCGTGCTTTGCCGAATTATGTGTCTATGGTGCATCCAGGTACCTTAACAGTTGTATTGGCTTAAAAAATGCAGTATGGTAATGGTGGCACACTTCCAACGGCAAATCGGTAAAAAACAACCCCCATAAACTTAACAATCCAGCAGTTTTTTACGCGTGCCGTCGAACTGCGTGGACTCGGTCGTAAATTTTCGTTTTTTAAGCTTCAACCTCCGGTTTTTTATCCATAAATCATTGGTCAGGCTAAAAAATGATGTTTTATTACTTTTGCTCGTTTTTTAGCGTAATGATCGTAATGACCGTTTTTTAACCATTTTACACTTCATTCTATGCAAACCACAGATACCACAAATAAACGATAAAATAATTTAAATATAAAATTAATTGTTATTTTCTTTTTTGATATAATTAACAAAAGTTATATACAATTAGAAAAAAATCTACTTAAGAATAAATACTTTTATTTTATTAAAATCTTGTAAATATGCAGCTTATTCGTGTGAGTAGAAAACTCAACAATTTGTATGCATATTTTTATGTATAGTTGTTAATCTTTGTAATGCTTTACTGTATTTATTTATGTTTCATTATATTTATTCGTTAAAAAGCATACTAATTTTGATTTATTCAACAAAATCAACATTGGATGCAAAATTAAATTAACTGCAAGGATTGGAGTGTTTATTTCATACTTTTTTTATTACAATTATTTATACAGCAAATATTATTATTAATATATTATTCGATGATTACACAATTGTTTGTAAAAAAGTAATAGTTTATTTAAGCATTTTTTTGTTCATCCTAATTTTACCTCATTTTACTTAAAATGAAACATAAATTTTAGGAATTTAGTTTTTTTTTTCATTTTTATTTATTTTTTTATGTAATTTTGTTATTAAAACTGTTTAGAATTGTATCATATTATTTATTATTAATGTATAGTTGAATTATATTAACTATAATATTAATTATGAGTGAAAAACAATTAGAAAAAAAACGATATATTTTAAGTAAAAGTGATAACTTCATTGAAAATCATTCATAAAAGTTTATAATTTTATAAAGAAAATAATATTTTAGTTTTATTTCTAATCGTTTTGAAAAGTAGTTGTTTTTTAAAATGTTTCTTTTTTTGCTAAATCGCATCTTTTTACTATAAATGTTTATCGATTTTTTTTGAATCGTAAAATATTATTTTCTCAAACGATTCTCTTGATAATTTTGAATATTAGTCAGCTTGTTTATATCGTCTAGTGTGTATGAACTGAAGTTAATCCCTTGTGGAAGAATTAAAATAAATAAAACGTGTTAAATAACGTTCTATTATTCTATTTTAATTTGAATTCTTAAATGTTGAACAATTCTGACGGAATCGGTTTCAAAGAAGAGAAATTTCAATTGTGCGCGAATTAAATTGCATTACTTTGCAACGTTGATTTCCTCTTCAAAGTTGATTTGCATTGTTTCATTGTACCGAAGAGAGGTGTCGAGAGATAGACAAAACACGGTTTGTAGATATTTTCAGTTTCCTGGATGATTTAGGAAGAGGAATACGAAATCCGTACGCGCCCTCTCTATTTCTCCTGACTTTAACAACAACAAAAAACCAGGAAAAATTCGTTCACTCTGTCCGTAGTATTTCCATCTTCGCTCTTCTTTCGGTCCCAGGGGGTACTCCAATTCTCCCCACCACCGCCGCAACTCGAACGCACCCCCACTATATACTAATGAGAGGGGGTAGGTGCGTTACGTTGTCGTAGGTTCTGTTAACTGTGCGTGCATGAGCTTTTTGTATTCAGTAAGCTTTCGAGTTTCATGTGTGACACAACCACAGCTCGACAGTAGCGCAGAAACATTACGCAAAGTTACGTAACGAACAGCATAACAGGGACATATAAACACTTTGACACTGACGAGTTCCTTCAGTTATTGCTTACCATTTATAGAGTGTGTATGCTAGCAACAAACAAGTGACCAATTGGACTTTTACCCCAGTGGATTTAAACCATATTTGTTATTATTTATCGACGACAGTGAGAGGAAATGCCTCTACTACAAGAAAACACACCTAACAGAGGTAAGTTTTAACAACAATTCTAGTCGAATCCCGAAACATACCCGCTGTAAACAAACTACCCACACGTGATCATCCAATGTCAAGTTCAAAAGTTCTCAAAGTAAAAAAAATGTTTACAACAACAAAACTAAATTTTAATATTATAGTTAAAAATGTATCAAATCAACAAATACGAAATTATTTCAAGTCTCTTTTAGGAAAAACTTATTGTTATCAGAAACTCAATACAAAATAACAACAATTATTATTATAAAAATATAATTTGACTATAAGTTATCGAGTTATGCAAGATTTAATAATTTAAACAATATCTTTGTTCATTGCCAAATATTTTCTGTTTACTTTATAATTCAATGTAATTTTAATTATAATAATTCATATAGTTGTTAAAAATCTATATTAACTATTAAACAATTATTTTATTAAAGATTGTAGTGCAATTTTAATGAATTCATTGAATAAATATTAATTGACTTCAAAGCAAGTAATTTTTTTCAAAGATTAAGATCAAAAGTAAGTTTTGTAATTGATGATTGGAGTTGAAAGAACATGAGTAATTGGTAATTAAAAAAATATATTGTTGTTGTCAATAATGATTACATTTAGATAAATGATCAAATTATTTTGTGTTAGGCTTTGTTTTGGACGTTCTAATATATTGTAGATGATTTGTTCCTGATTTGAAGTTTTGTGAGTGATAACAGTAGTTGCAGTTTAGTTCCCATGATTTAAAAGTTCAATATTTACATGGATTGTTATTTCGCTTTTGATGATAAGAGGAGGTTTCGAATAACCATTACGGTATAATTAAAGTTTTAATTAGAAATAGAAAGGCGCGAAATTTCCCACAGTCGTTATCAGAAATCAAATAAAGAGACCGACGCAAAGAATTCGTAGTAATTATACATCGTTCGTATTTGTGCAAATCGGGGCTAATTAGAAGTGGGAGAGAGATGAAGCGTGGGTGGTGGTGGTGGGGATGATTTGCGCAAACGAAGCTCCGCCCGCATTATGTAATTAGGGCTGGCACGCATGTTTCCCCGGTAACGACGGTAATGATCTGCGTAATGAAATACGCGGCGCGTATCCCTCAACTCCACCTCTTCGGAGATGTCCTCAGGAGGCGCAGACGCGAGCCATTAGACTCGAGACCATTATCTCCACCCCTTTTCTTCGTCACTAGCTCGCTCGCACTTTCAACCCTTCCTTCGGAACACAACCGACGATTTTTTCAAGAGAGATATACGCGAAACGTCAATTGCAAACGTATGAGGGTGGGTGAAGAAGGCGCAAAACCGTTGGCCGTATGTTTGCTCGCTTACTTACAATAACATCCCTTCGTATTTTGGGGTAGTTTCTTAAGAAAACTGCAACAGTCTTGAATGACAATGGATGGGACACGCGGCCCATTGGGCGTCGTTCAAGCGGAATGTCTTCGCATTGCACGACGTGTGTCGCAATAGCCGGATCACAATAGAACGCGTCCTTTTGAATGGCATTGTATGATGATGATGTACCATCCCATTCCGCCCGACCAAACGCATCCATCCTGAGCACACAACGACTTGTTTACGCAACCATCGCTTTCTTCCATTGCTTATCCCTAATTGTTGTTTATTTCTTGCAGCTATGTTAGGAGAGGACGAAACCAACACCATGAGCCCAATCTCCGCCATGTCTTTCCCGGCATTCGGAAACACTGCGATGTTTACGCCGACGCAAATTTTGATGGCCTCTCAGATGTTGGCAGCCTCAGGTCTTGGATTACAGCCGAATCCGGCATTCTTCCATCCCGGTCTTTTTGCAAACCCGTGGGCCGCGAATTCACCACCATCGCCGCCAACAGAACAGCTGTCGCCAGCTCTGAAATCGAGGAAAGTGAACAACAACAATAACAACATTGTCACAAGCAGCATGGTCGAGACGAGAGCACCTAAGAGGAAGGTGTCGAGGAAGTCTGAAACGGAGATCCCGTTGACGTCGCCCACGTCCAGTTCTTCTCCTCAATCTGAGAACGGCAGCAAGGATAAACAATTCACATGCGGCGTCTGCAATAGATCTTTCGGTTACAAGCACGTCCTCCAGAATCACGAGAGGACGCACACCGGAGAAAAACCGTTCCAATGCACCGAATGCAACAAACGGTTTACCCGTGATCATCATTTGAAGACTCACATGAGGCTGCACACAGGTGAAAGGCCATACCATTGCGAGCACTGCGATCGTCAATTTGTTCAGGTTGCGAATCTAAGGAGACATCTGAGGGTGCATACAGGTGAAAGGCCGTACTCTTGCGAGCACTGCTCTTCACGCTTCTCAGATTCCAACCAGTTGAAGGCGCACGTCCTCATTCACACCAACGAGAAGCCGTTCTCCTGTGATCGCTGTGAGGGTCGGTTCCGCAGGAGGCACCACCTTCTTCACCACAAGTGCGGAGTACCAGAGAAGGAGACCACCCCCGAAAGATTCGAGTCACCCGAGATGGACGTGAAACCCATGAGATTGATGCGTTTGTCTAACGAGCCACTTGTACCGATCTCCATGATGGGACTCCCCGAACAAACAGAACCCGAAGACCTATCCATGAGCACTGGCCTCCACTCCCACAGCAGTGGCGACTCCCCAATGTCGCGATCGCCCAGCTCAAGGGAGTCCTCCGTCGACGGTGACGAGATCGAAGATTCAAACCAATTCCTGCGGGTGAACTCTTAGTTGAATCACCCGTCGCGCATAGTTTAAGAGTACAAGTCATTAATCTTAACCATTATTACTTTTGTTAACAAATTATTATTATTTTGTTTTTCGTGTATATTGCGGGATGTTTTCGTTGTACAGTCAGGTATGCAAGTTCCTCAAAAACAATAGCCTAGGATGTGTTACTGCTTCCGTGTAGATGTTTTAACGCGAGTGTTGTTTCCTTTTCATTTGCGCAATATTCCAAGAAACAAATAAGAAAAGCACTCAACACACACAAACAAATGCACGAACGAGAGGAGACTTTGCTTTTTAACGAAACGACAGAAGTGGTAACAATCACATTTTATTCTCTGTACATAAAATAAATATATTTATGATATTTAACATAAAAAAAGGCCAGTTTATCTCTAAATTCATTCTAAATATTCGTGATGGACAGAAAATAACCGAGGATGAATCGTGCTTTCAAAAAAAACATGAAAAGAAGGACGTAACGGTTCGTCCTTTTTTTACTCCAGTTCCATATAATTTTACAAGTCCGCCTTCGATACCTGGATTTGCATACCGGTAAAAAGATAAAAAGAGGCTGGCCAAATCGAAGGCCGTTTCTGCTCCAGTTTTGAGAAACCATGCGTTCGGGTGGTCATTATTATTGCCAAGGGTGCCCTTTCGCAAAAATACAAAAACACACAAAAAAAAATGGAAAGAAAACGGGACTATCTCAAATATCGCCCACGCCCGTAACACAATTATCAAATATTTTTTGTTGTGCACAAAAAAAAAGATAAACATGTGCACCCTCCCCGAATATAGACATAACGGCTTTTCCTATTTTCTTACCGTCGCTCGATTTCACAATGGTGACCTATTGGGTTACTTACGACCCGTGCAAATCGCGACCGCAAGACAAAAGGAAATCCCCGGATCAATTAAAGTTGGGAAACGCGTTTGTAAAATTATATGGACACAACGGAGCGGAACAATCGAAGCTCATTTATCAAAAAAATGAAATAAAATAAGTAATAGAAAAGAAACTAGTTCTGCGGATAGTTCGAAACCCGTTCCTTCGCGACGGTTAAAAAGCAAAGTTACACCACCACCGCTCGATGTAGTTTGTAAATGTTTATGTGTAATCGAATTGCACCCTTCCGTCATTGTAAATAATCCTAAAACCTATATAATTCGATATCTGTGTGAATGTTCTAGGAGACACTTATTGTAAATTTGTGGCTGTATTAATTGTTATTATTTTTTAATTGTTAGACGTTTCTACTACCCTTTCCTTTCCTCTATAGCCAACCAATGTTTTAGGTTCGGTATATTTTTGTTCCCCAAATTATTGAATGTAAATAGTCCTTAAATCATCTCATCTCTTGTACATAAAAATGCGCCAAAAAAAAACTAAAACCATACGACTAGAAGAGAAACGTTGTTTCTGCAGGTACCTTATAAAAAAAATTATGTAAAGTGCCATTCTCTATCTATGAGTTATTCTATACTATTTTTTATTTTGTGAGGGAGCTTTGTCCCCCTTGGATTCCTATTAGTTTTTATTTTAAATTATATTTTATAAACTATATTATTATAACAAAAAAAAAATGATAACAGGGTTACCAATATTATATTAATATTATTTTTATAATTTATGATTTTTTTATTTAATTCCGAGAATTTAAAACCAAAAAAAAAAAATGAAGAAGAAAAGATGATATATAAATATATTTTTGTATATATACGAAAGAAGGTACAAAACGCTACCTCCCAGTACCTAAGATTGTTGTTGTGAAACACGAACTATTTCCATATATTATATGAATGTAACTTTACAAGACTGATTTTTCATAGATTCCTAAGTAGACAGAATTATTACGTGTGTAAGTAAATGAATGACAAAAAAAAACAACAAGTAAACCATAAAATGTTGCATCTTTTCGTGGTTGTTTTTGTTTTGCTGTTAAAACGCAATTTGATCTATATGATTAAAGATCGTTGCGTTTCTCACTCAACGTTTCGTTTCGCTCTCTGATCCTTTTGTTAATGTTTTCTTTAAAAGAAACAACAAGAAGACGAAGAAGAAGAAGAAAATGACGAACAAACGAATTATTGTAAATGTATACTGATTCTACCTCAACAATTCAAGTACAAAACTTTTTGAAATGATATTCGACCAATTTAATTATCGCTGTTTCTCGAAAGGTTTCCGAATTATTAAAGCTCTATTATTAATACCTCTCTATTTCTGTCCTCTTTCATTCTCGTTTTACCTATTTCCTTTTTTGGGGAAATCCAATTAGTCGTTTCGATGTAACGTAATTATATTAAGCTGTGGATATGTGAAAACCTACCCCTCCGGTTTGGACAAATTTTTTGAATGTAAAATGTATTATAATGCCCGCTCTTTTCCCCGTTATACTATGTATATGTGATCACCTAAATATTTGATTGATGTCTGATAACCTGCCACCACTCCTGATCCCATGCAATTTACCCCATATCCTGAAACCCGTCTCCTTAAAAAATATAAATGTACGATTTTATGTCAATAACTATTTTATTATTAAAATTTAAAATTACCAAAAATTATATATATGATATAAATATAATATGTTCGTTTACAAAAATTAAACATGTTTTTTATTACTTTGTCCTTAAATAAATCCTATACTTTTTATAATCAACAAAATAGAACGTAAGGCACAGGCAGATATTAATGTAAATACTTTTAAATATTCGTTGAAATCTATCCAAAATACCAACATTCACGTGTATTTTATCATATAATTAACATATATAAGCAATTACTTACAATTTTTTTCAGTTTTATTTATTTTAGTTTATGAAATTAATTAATATCAACAAATATTTAACAAAGATTGCAAATATATTAGTAAAATTATATATATATGGTTTGAATATAAATCATAGTAAATTTTTTAAAAATTGATCAATTGTCTAAAAACGTTTGCATTGTACAAATTGTATTATTATATATTATTGGATCGAAATAATAAATACCTCCCATAGTGCGGCTTGGATCAGTCCGGATTCAATATAGTTATGTCCTTCCCTTTATACAGTCAAGTATGGAAGAATTAAATACATACAAATTGTGTTATTATATATTATTGTAAACTTTAAAACATTTTATAAACTTGTACTTGATCAAAACAATAATTACATAAATATCTCGCATAGTGCGGCTTCGATCATTCCGGATTCACTATAGTCATGTTTTTCCTTTTATACAGTCAAGTATCGAAGAACTAAATACATACAAATTGTATAAACTTGTATTTTATCGAAACAATAATTACATAAATACCTCGCATATTGCGGCTTCGATCAGTCCGGATTCACTATAGTCATGTCTTTCCCTTTATACAGTCAACAACTAAATACATACAAAAATTAACCTTACAAATTTCTGTATTTATTTGTGTACTTACTCGAATAGTCCGGTTTCAAACAGTCCCGAATATTGGCAAAACAGATTATCAATAAATATTTTTACATATTTCATTATTTTACAAAAATTCTAAATAAATTTGTTATACAAAAGGTCTGAAGGAAATAATATTTAAAAGAAGTAAAAAAAATTAAAAGAATTTACTAATAGAAATTTGAAAACATTTGTTAACCCGTCTGTCCTGAATAGAACTCATGTAGGTGAAAATATATAAAATCTTCTATAAGAAAATGTTGATTCTACCAATATAATTACCATAATTGATGAAATTAGATAGAAAATACCAAAAAAGAAAATAATATTTTAATGTCTCATCTCATCCTCTGTGCGGATGTATTTTTCGTTTTTAAAAATGTATAGTAAATGTATAGTTTAATTTTGACAACAGTTCTAAAATTAGAGATTAATTGTACAATAATCTAAAAGAGAATATTAGATTTCAACATTTAGTAAATTCATTTGCGTAAAACTTAAATTTTCGTAGAATTAACAGTATCTAATTTACTTACCTTCGTATGTGGGAACGTTGAATAAGTGTTACTTTTACATCTGGTGTTCGGTGCTGAGGAACCGCATTCAAATCTTGAACGGAAGCTTCCGAAGCGTTAAGAAACGTTCCAAGTTGAAGCAGAACTCGTTCAACGTGTACAAATTCGAGAAGGAACTCTCGCAGCTGATGGATCTCCACCAGGAGCTCGTCTCGATGTCGCGCATGATGAACGACATGTTTGAAATCGAGATCGTCTGGCATTTCACTATTATTTTCAACCAGATCTTCGCTAACGGCTACTACACCATGTTCATCATGACTACGAGGAAGAAGGACCTCATGGTGTATCCATTTACCTTGGTCGAGAATTCCGTGTACGTCTATTTCGAATGTTCTATCCGAATATTCCATCAATAAATTTCTGATTAATACTGAAATACCGATTACTTTATACCGATTATTTTATCAGTAATATGTATATTTGACATACATATTTTGGCGGTAATATCGATTTTTTATACAATGCATAGATATTGTATAAAATAATGCAAATAAAGAATTTGGAAACGTAAATAATGATCTTATTTACATTACAAGAGAGGCGCTCGATACAGGCGCAACTAGATGAAGTGCTTATAAGTCTGCGTATATATCCGCTTTTAGTTGATTATACTACAATCAAATAGTCGTATCGAAGAACTATATTTGAGTACACAATTATTTCTTTACTTTTACATTACTTATACAGCAATTTTTGTGCGGTACTAAAGTTCTCGATTCAAACCGACCGTGTTATTGGCGGAACCGATTACTCGGACTATTCGAGGTTTTGCTGTACTGAAGAAATTGTATACATATTTAAAGAAAACCAATGCAAATAAATCTTCAATTATAAAATAGACAATTAATAAATCAAATAATGATTTAATACAACTTAATTATTATACTAATATGTATACATTTTTCAATAATTATAAAATAAAGATCTAGGTGTAAATATTATCAAATAACATTAAACATTAATAGAAAATAAAAACTATTATCAACTGCAATTTTATATAAATATATGCATTATATATTTTCAAGTTTGTCGTGAATTAGATATGAATTGATTATAACTTATTTTCACCTTATAGCTACGTGATGTAGATTATAATATTGTACTTTCTAGTATTAAAATATTGTCTTAGTTAATCTAAATATAAATAACAAATGCGCAGTTGTATTATATAAAAAGTTGATCTGTAAATAAAGATAGATTATCTAGTCAATTTTAATCAAAACATTATCAAATAGACTCTTTACTTTATTTGGTATTTACAGTAAGTCAGTATTTGTAATTGATGTTGTTATAAGAATATTATATAATAAGTAATATAGCTTTTAACGAGAGATTAATATTTGAAGCATATTCATATTGAGGCATATTTCTAAATATAATAATAATCTAATTTTTTCTTGGAAGTAAGCTTCTTTCAAAAGAAAAGAGCAAAAAGAAAACAAGAAATAAAGTTACAAAATATTGACTTATGAATAAAAATATGGTTACTTTTATCAGCGAAAATTAAATTCCAAACATACCATTCTGAGACATCTACTTTTAAAGGTAAAACGACAAATTGATGACTGAATATTGAGTTTTCTGTAATAGTTATGGAATGATTATAACGTTGAATAAGTTCATTTTTTAGAAACACAATTTCAACATTTGAATAATAGATATATTTATTCAATATTGTTACAGAATATGACTAGAAAATTAAAATACATAAATAAATTTTCATCAAAAAATATTTTAAATTATAAAAAAAAAACTTTTTACTAAAATTGCCTAATTGTAATTGATACTTTCCAATTATAGAAAAGCTATAAATTACAACATAATTGTACTATAATTAATTACTTACGCAATGAAAGATAAATATCGCACGCTAAGCAAATACATATTAATTGATTACAAGCTTTTACAATATTTTTTTATTGTCAGATGAACGTACTCAATGTTCGTGCGAACGTACGACTTACCGTCGGACGCTTTGCATCACATCATGTAAATTCCCGTACTTAACTTGCAAATGGACTGCATTTTTATTTCAGTTTTACAGTGAAGTTATATAAAATGAGTTTTCATAAAGCAGTTATCTGTAAAAGTCATATACAATTTGAATACTCCATGTAATTATTACAATTGTACTTATACGAACATTTCTACATTGGTTTAGTCCGAACAATTATGTACGTATTATCGAATGCACTTCAAACTAAAATTTGACCTGTTATTTCGTTCTATAAAGTTTATTGAATAATGTTATTCAATAAGCGAGTAAATATTTAATTTCCCATACACAACTTGTTAATGGAACACATTTTCATTTTAGTTATTCAGTGAAGATAAATTTTCCTAAAATGAGTTTTCACAATAGCAGTAATATACATTTTTAATGCTTCATGTAATTAATACTCAGAATAATGATGAACCTATTGTCGAATACACTTCGAAATATTGTACGTCAAGTGAATGCTGCATGTATATTTCGTTAAAAATGTTGATCTATTATTTTGTGCTTTAAAGTTTATCGAATAATGGTATTCAATAAGCGAGTAAAGCATCTCGTGATCATTATAAAGTTGCAGATGATGGAGCTGA